TAGCTTGTCTTAAAATGTAATGGATCTGTTTTTACTTGTGCCGCCCCATCTTGTATCAACAACATCAGCGCGCCCCGGCTACAACTTCAACAATCCCGACAACTCAGACTAAACATACAAAAATCATAACGAGTCGCGTCCCTTGACAATGCAACGATAAATGGCAGTAAAAAAAAAGCTAAGCTGACCATGCGATAAATGACACGCTGAAATGAACAGGTAGTGACACCCCCCGCCACCCCCTCCCCACAATTCCCACCCCACATGTAGACACAGCTCAGTTTTCACATCACATATTGTTTATATCACATATTTAGTTCCACAGTCTAGATCTTACCGGCACCAAGCCTAACAGACCAGCATTTATTTCCGCAGCCGTCGCAAACATGGACGCTTGTGTACTGTGCAAGCATGAAAGCATGGGTACTATGCAAGCATGAAAGCATGGGTACTGCGTATTGAGGTAGTCCACACCGTTTAGATAGCATCAAACTAAATTGTGTAGACTACCTTAAATAAACAGTACTACGGTCATCATTTGCAGCTGTAATCGTGGATAAAAAGTTGAATCATTGCATTAATATTTTCTTCTTCGTTATTAATTATTGTAATATGTCTACTGGAAAAGATTTCCTCTAACGCAATTAAGTTTACGTGTCAACTTGTTATGGGCCATATAAGCCATTGACTCTGATTTCAGCCTGCTTTTATTTCTGGATTTGCTACCATAGCCTTTGTCCAACCAAGAACAAACTACAAGGCAGCGGTTTTGAAGTTTTCTCCCCTAGACGGGTTGCTGTCCCCAGCTATCGAGTCTCATCTGCTCGGAAGTTCGAACTCGGGACTTTTCGGTTTAGCAGCCTTGAGTACGCCGACCTCCTTTGGGTTGTTCTTTCTTCTTAACTGTATTTATAGATGAAATATCCTCTAACAAAATTGCGTATGTTATGCCGTCGTTTACTCCGACTTCAGACGCATTTTGTATCTTGTTGTGGTTCCATACATAAGCTCTACCAGTAACAGGCAGAATGTTGTGGTTGGTTTTAGAAATTTCTCTCCTAAATGGGTTGCTAAGAGCGTCGTCTTCCCTCGGATCCGAACTGGGGTCACGTTCAATCACGCCGTTGTTCAATTATTTCATTAAAAAAAAAAAACAATTTCAAAATGATGTTTTTGGATTGATGATGATTATTTTTAATATTTCTGATTTAGAATAAGATCTTGATATGTACGATAGTGTCTTACAATTTAAAAAAAAATATTTTAAAAAAGAATTAATTTCAATCATATATTTATTTGAAGCTAAAACAATAAAATTTGTATTGTATTTAGTATTTCGCACGTAGTTTTTATTTATCTAATTTTGCTCCAGACCTGTAATTACTTCAATTTATTTTTAGTTTATTTTTTTTTGTATAATTTTTTTTAGTTTATTGATACACGCTTAGAATGTAATGACGAATGTCGCTAACGTATAAAATTGGTTTTTAGAAGAAAAAGCGTATGTTATTAATGGTTGATTGACAACATCAATTATTATCAATATTATTATTTTTGATTGATAAAAACGTTGTATTTAATCACATCTAAAAATATCTTTTGAGATAATTATCTGACTTCTTAGCTTCAAATCATTCTTCATGTTTCTTCATTTTTAATTTGCCTTTCAATAATATTTTGAGATTCCCGTTGATTACTTGCCTTGAAACCTTTTATATCCATTGGAGTTATTTCCCCTGATCTGTTACTGTGAAACTCGTCAAACAGTTTTCTCACTATTTTTGACTTGTTCAACAGTAGAAGATCCGTGGGTTTCCTTGCCTTGATGACGTCAAAGTCACGTGATATTAATGATTATTTTTTTAAAATAATCAAACATACCTTTTTTTTTTTGGTTGTGACATTTATTTGAACTTTAAGGTATCGTTTAATTGAACTCAAACGCACTTAGTCATTGCATCGTTAGTCATTTGCGACAGTTTAAAAATAGTTTAATTTATTGATTCGAGTTAACGGCGTACGCTTGACGTTGCACTTTCTGACACTCGCCCTCTTCACCTTGCTTCCACACCTCACACAACCTCACACAACCTCAAACACCTCTCATAGCAACCACCTCACATCTCTCACCTCACACATAAGACAACCTCACACACACACACACACACACACACACACACACACATATATATATATAAATATATATATATATATATATATATATATATATATATATATATATACATATATATATATATATATATATACATATATATATATATATATATATATATATATATATATATATATATATATATATATATATATATATATATATATATATATATATATATATATATATATATATATATATATATATATATATATATATATAAGATATACATAGACTATCAATTTCTATAATTCTTTAAAAATTTTAAAATAAATTATAATTTATTCTGCGAAATAAAAACAAAATAAAACGAAGTAGGGTGAATAAAAATAGATCCGCACCATCACCCAGCTAAATACCGCCAACTATACCATACCACAACCAGCACGCACCATATCAAACCCAGCACAGCATCACGCACCGCATCATACCATACCACACCCACCACCAAATCATACCATACAGCACCCAACACCGCACCAGGAACCTCACCCCGTAACACACTCTGTTCCACACACCACGACCCTTATCCATCACCATCACCCACACACCTCGACCCATATCTCTCACCATCACCCACACACCGCGACCCATATTCCTTACCATCACCCACACACCTCGACCCATATCCCACACCATCACCCACACACCGCGACCCATATCCCACACCATCACCCACACACCGCGACCCATATTCCTTACCATCACCCACGCACCTCGACCCATATCCCACACCATCACCCACACACCGCGACCCATATCCCACACCATCACCCACACACCGCGACCCATATATCACACCATCACCCACACACCACCACCCATATCCCACACCATCACCCACACACCTCGATCCTTATACCACACCATCACCTACACACCACGACCCATACTCCACACATCAATATCCCCAACCACCAGACAACACAAATCTACCTCACCCCTTACACCACCCAACACACAAAGTGGAACGGAACATAATGGATAAGACCTTAACATGTACTAGCACAAAAGTCCTTAGTTCTACTAGATCTACCTTCTTCTTCCTTCTCCTAGTGCTAATGCCCATGCGTACATTTTAGGGCGGTCTTTACTAGCAGACTTTGGGGAGGGTCGAGGTTAAAATTTGGGGCGGTCCTACATGTCAATGGATGGAGGTGCAACCTTATTCATGGATTAATTCACATGACCTCAGCTGTTACCCTTTTTATAGTCAAGTTCGCTCCTGAAACAAAGGAGCTTCTGCTCGTGCTAGATTTTATGTAAGCAGCAGCAGCAGGGTTGGTATGGGAGGAGGGGTAGATGAAGGGGGTGGGAGGGGGGTTGGTGGCAGCCTTGTTGTAGAGTATGGCAGCCACCCCCTTATGTATATTACAGCTGGTTGCTTTACTTTTTTTCCCTTTCCTCTTGGTTTAAATGCGAATATATCATAAACTACCAGACGTCTTTGTTAAATCGTCATACGCTACATCATCATTAACATATTATCCTATCATTCATTACCAGATATTCTAATACAAGACTATCACGGTCCATACAGTCCAGTATCAGATACTCTAATACAAGGCCCTATATTATCATACTACACATACAAATGTGTATCACTTACTAAATAATAATATACGATTCCATAATAATACCCTTTCACCAGATACTATAGCATATAATCCTTATGTATTACCTAAAACAAACTGATCTAATTACCATTCAAAACTTAAGCAAAATTATACCATCTAAAATAATACCCCTCACATCTCATGCATTATATAACCATTAAGCAGAGTACCATCTTAGAAGATACCATCGTATATCGTATTGTACAACCCCTACCATCCTATGCAATACCCACTCCCCACCCACTCCCCACCCTCAAATCACACGATTTCTAACCTCCTGAAAGTCTCAAGTTAAGTTCTCGATCCGGACTAGTCTGCAGTCGGTCCCTGAGTCCACTCAGCTATAAAGGGTACCTGGCTCAGTTAGCAAAAGTAAAGGCGACCCGGCGTACCCTCTTATACCGAGGTAAAATAACAAATAAACTCTACCTCAACTGTCCGATCAATAACTTGGTCTGAAAAGATTTACCTTTCACTTTTTGTATCCCCCTTCGCATCATCCTAAGGCCTCTAACAACTCCATCACACCATCCCCCATCACACCATCCCCATCACACCATCCCCATCACACCATCCCCATCACACCATCCCCCATCACACCATCCCCCATCACACCATCCCAAGTCCTATAACACCATCCCCATAATACCATCCCAATGCCTATAATGACATCACCCACCACACCATCCCCATCACACCATCCCCCATCACACCATCCCCCATCACACCATCCTCATCACACCATCCTCATCACACCATTCCCCATCACACCATCCCCCATCACACCATCCCAAGTCCTATAACACCATCCCCATAATACCATCCCAATGCCTATAATGACATCACCCACCACACCATCCCCATCACACCATCCCCATCGCACCATCCCCATCACACCATCCCCTATCACACCATCCCCCATTACACCATCCCCTATCACACCATCCCCACCACACCATCCCCATCACACCATCCCCATCGCACCATCCCCATCACACCATCCCCTATCACACCATCCCCCATTACACCATCCCCTATCACACCATCCCCATCACACCATCCCCTATCACACCATCCCCCATTACACCATCCCCTATCACACCATCCCCCATTACACCATCCCCTATCACACCATCCCCATCACACCATCCCCCATCACACCATCCCAAGTCCTATAACACCATCCCCATAATACCATCCCAATGCCTATAATGACATCACCCACCACACCATCCCCCATCACACCATCCCCCATTACACCATCCCCATCACACCATCCCCCATCGCACCATCCCCATCACACAATCCCCCATCACACCATCCCCCATCACACCATCCCCTATCACACCATCCCCATCACACCATCCCCTATCACACCATCCCCCATTACACCATCCCCATCACACCATCCCCCATCACACCATCCCCCATCGCACCATCCCCATCACACAATCCCCCATCACACCATCCCCCATTACACCATCCCCTATCACACCATCCCCATCACACCATCCCCTATCACACCATCCCCCATTACACCATCCCCATCACACCATCCCCCATCGCACCATCCCCATCACACAATCCCCCATCACACCATCCCCCATTACACCATCCCCTATCACACCATCCCCCATCACACCATCCCCCATCACACCATCCCAAGTCCTATAACACCATCCCCATAATACCATCCCAATGCCTATAATGACATCACCCACCACACCATCCCCATCGCACCATCCCCATCACACAATCCCCCATCACACCATCACCCATTACACCATCCCCTATCACACCATACCCATCACACCATCCCCCATTACACCATCCCCTATCACACCATCCCCATCACACCATCCCCCATCACACCATCCCCCATCACACCATCTCATTACATATAACACCATCCCCCATAACACCATCATCCATCACACCATTCTAGGGCCAATAATACTATCCCCCAATCCCACTATCCCCAGTGTTTCTACTTTTTTCTCCAAAGGCATTTGGAATTTTCGGGGATGGGGGGAACTAAAATTTCAGGGGGGAGGGGGGGGGGGGGGCGAACACTGTTAAAACTATATATTTTCTATATAAATTCCATTTCGTTGGGGGGGGGGGGGGGGGCGGTAGACTTTTCTTCAGGGTGGGGGGGGGGGGGGAAGGCAGAAAGAAAGAAGAAGCAATGCCTGGAGGAAACTCTGACTATCAAATGTCCTATAATCCCATCCTCACCACACCATCACATGGCCCATTACACACCGACTCTCTAAAGACGGCTGCATGATGCATCTATCAGACACAGATGTAAGATGCTTAAAAAAACAAAGCTGTTACACTGAGCCATGTTGAAACTCTCATATGTCACCTGATCATCTCCCCATGCATAATTGAGATAAAACCGTTAGAGAAACTGTTGAACTGTAATCAATACACGCCAGAATTATGTGATGTGTTTGTTATATAAAACATAACCTCGAAACAAGTGAGATAAACAATCAATTTTCAGCGACGATATCGAAAGAAAAAACTTTAGTTGACTAAAAAATTCAGTAAAGCAAAAATAATTTTGCTGACCATGTAATTTTTCGGTTGAGTTAGCTGCATGCATATTTTATAAATCGCTGTCGCGTAACTCTTAAAAAAAAGATCACTTAGTATTAACATCAACAGTTGAATTCATTGATTAAAAAAGGGAATAATATTATAAAAGTAATGTATAATATACTGGTGCATAACAGCATCAAAGTTGACTCGTTTCAGTAAACCTAAATCTATGCTATTGTGTTTAAGATCGTACTCTTTTCAATGCCACCAAGGCTTCCCATTTTAAACATTTATAGTACCCTGGTTTAAATTTGTCATAAACGTGTACTTGTCAAATACAAAATATTACCTAGATTTAATATGCAACCCAATAGAAGTGCAGGTATATAATTTAAAAAAAAACTTATTTTCTTACATGAGTTTTTTTTTTTCATCAAAGACATTATGTTATATACGTCTAAAGCAGTTTAAAGAAAGTGTTTCAAAATTCGACAACAATTAATCTCACCTCAAGTGTTAATGCCCCAATGAAGTTCAGTAAACGTCCATGCACTGCTTGCTACAGTCGATTTCTTCTTTGTCAATTCTTGCTTACTAAAGCAAATCTCGAATATAGTCCAGCTTACTTAAGCAAATCTTGAATCTAGTCCTGCTTACCAAAGCAAATCTTGAATCGCTTCCTGCTTACCAAAGCAAATCGTGAATCGTTTCCTGCTTACTAAACCAAATACTGAATCAAGTTCTTGCTTCCTAATTCAATATTGGCAGTAATGCTTTCTGCTTTTTATTTAATAACCTTTGCATGTAGGATTTTTCACAACCTAATTGCTGCTAATCCTGTTTGTAAAGGTAACGGAGCCTTTGGTTATAGACCTCCTGGGGAACCAAATCACAGACCAAGTCTTCTTACTAAAGCTGTATATTAGTTATAATTCTTCAAAAAAAGAGAAAAGTTTAGCACATCAGTAAAAAAAATCCATCAACAAAAATGCATCCGGCTAGACAGGATTCGAACCTAGTACACAAGTCCTCGTTACTGGAGCCAGCATGTCGCCTTAAGCAACCGGACCTGACTGAAAGCTACCTCGCCGTGCCGGAGCATTTAATGCCCGGTCATCAAATGTCCCATCATGCACCGCGTCCTACGTGTCCATTGGGGACAGGTGAGCTTTGAGTGACCTTTGACCTCGTCTTTGTTGTTGTTGTTGAGAAGTGGAAAGTTTCATAACATTTCAAACTTTCATCATGGCGTGGTGTGAATTTGTCCTGTTGACAAGCAAGACGACATTACCGTGGGCATGTTTTTGACATTAAATATCGGTGATGGTTTTGAAAATAAAATACAATTAAAAAACACAATGCGTAATTAGTGTAATATTTTTAGTTCAAAGTATAATTAGTCACCAACTTAAACCTTCTTAATCATGACCCTAAGTTATTAGTAAGTCTTGATAGTCCGTAGTGCTAAAGCTGCGCGGATGCGCGGCCGCGCAGTCGAGTAAAACAAGACGCGCAGTCACTTGTAAAACACTTATCCTTGTATGTCTTTTAGGACAACCGCACACAAAATACACATAGCACTAAATTTTCCCCCTTAGAGGGGGGGGGGGCACGATATTTTCGGGGGGGGGGGAGCGGACTATATTTTTCGGGGGGTGGGGGGTGGGGGGGGGGGGCGAACACTGGTAAAAGTATCTTTTCTATATAAATTCCAGCTCGTTCGGGGGGCGGTAGACTTTCTGTGGGGGGGGGGGGGTGAAGAGATTCCTGGAAGAAACTCTTTAGAGGGAATGTTGCACTCAGGTAATCCTAACCATTAATTGGACTCATTAACGTCATAAGGACAGGGTGGTCTAGCGGTAGAATCACCCTTGCTAAACCAATAAGTAAAGCACCAGGGCTCGACAAAAAGACCTCTTACATTTAAACCAGGTTGTCACGCACTAGGGAGGAGGCACAAGTCCAGGGGACACCCAAGGGTGCATAGGCGTAGCAACCCATTCCGGCGCCCGGGGTGAACATTCAAATTTGCGCCCCTCACCTATTTCTATTAATTCATGTTGATGAAAAACGACCCCCCCCCCCCAACCTTCCCAGTTGGACAGATTGGTGGCTTATTTTACCAGTCATTATTCCGGAACAGATTTTATTTTGGTGTCACGCAATTGATGTTGAAACAGTACATTTTCTTACACATTGATGTAACTTTTTACTCATTAAAATCTGCATTTGTTGAAGTCAACATCATCATTTTTTTTTCTGTTTGTGCCCATGACACATAAAACAGATGAAGTAGAGTTAATTTGTTCAATGACCTCAGCATATAAGTGTAGTTAGCCATATGCCCAGCCGCCATTCTTTCCATCAAAGCTGGGTGGACTCAGTGACGTCTTATACATTTGAGCTGGGATCCGAAATTGCGACTTTCGAAGTAGTAATAATAAACTCTACCATTCGACCACAACGACTCCATAAGAATACGTTTCAACTGTTGTTTTTTTTTTTAATTTCAATTTAAACCGTGTTTGTGTTTAGTAAATTTATTTATACCAAGTTATCCAACCATGTAATACATATTTTATCTATGTATTAATTTCTTTAATGTGTTTTTCAATTGTTTAATGCGTTTTAAGCTGTTTATCTAATTATTTAATATGTATTTTAACTATGTATTTATTTCTTTAATGTGTCTTTCAATCGTTTCATGTGTTTTAAACTGTTTATCTAATTATTTATTGTGTAATTGAACTATGTACCGATTGAAACGTCAACCAATTACACAACTGGAATAACTTAACTCTCATTGCCGTAACGATCTGTTTTTTTCTCACTGTCTTACATCAATAAAATCGTTATGTGACATCGCCGGGATTACACAAAAGGCTAATTGCCATGGCAACGGCACCTGTAGAACTGGCGATACCTGTAGGGCGCGGCGCCCCGAGCAACGGCCTAGGAAACGAGCTGTCGTGTTTGATGACATGGCAACGATGCGGTGGGGCGGCTGGGTGGGGGGGGGGGGGGGGCGGGGTGTCTGTGAATAGCGAACCATGTGGAAAAAAATCAGTTGAATGCTGAGCAGTATCTGGGTAACTTTGTTAAGGGGGGAGTCACGGGTGGAAGTCTTAGTTGTTTTTTTTTTTATGGAGATGTCACTGAATGCCGTTTGTGTGCGTTTTTATGTGTGCATGTTTGTGTTTGTGCGTGTTTTGTACGAGTTTGTATATTTGTTTATATATTATGTGCATGTTTTTATTTGTGTTTGTCTTGTACGTGTTTGTGTGTGTTTTTTTTTTATATATTGTGTGCATGTCTGCGCATTTGTGTGTGTGTGTGAGCATATTTGTGATTGTGTTTGTCTTGCACGTGTTTGTGCGTTTGTTTTGTGCATGTCTGCGTAGTTGAGTACGTATTTATTGTCTTTAAGTATGCTTTATTTCCACGAACACGAATTTATGCCTCCCCCTCCCTCAACCTTCTCATTAAGACACGCCAACAACAATGTGAAATAAAAACGACAGCCTGATTAAAAACTTAGTTTACTTATATTTGGGATCAGCTTATGCTATTTATTTACAAACCACTTTAAGCTAAAGTTTTGATAAAGGTTTTCTAAGCTTACCATAGTCTCTTTTAAAGAAACAATGCCTCAGGATTTCTATCAGGCATCTCTTCGGAGCACCCCCCCCCCACCCCGAAGCACGTCTACCGCCCTCCGAACGAAATACAATCTACAGTGTCCGCCCCCGGTAAATGTAGTCACCCCCCCCCCCCCTCATAGTTTCAAGTGCCCCCTCCCCTAGAGAAAAAAGTCTGAAAGAAAAAATGCAAGGCCTTATGACTTATAGACAAACATACATTATAATCACCGACCGGTACAATTTTGTTATGACAGACGTGTCAGATCTCATGACAGACAAACATGGCCGTCTGTCAGTCGGGCACAGATGAACCAACAAGGGAGACAACAGGGGGGGTGCACATGTTGACCTCAAACTAGCCACACAATTATTTTTTTTGGTCAGTCAAATAGCAACGTGACTGCCCACACTTTAAACACAGCAATAGCCATATATGGATATGGGGACCTACGTGCACTATATACATCAGAGCAATAAAATATGGTGTTGCGTTTTAATTTGAATTCTGTCTTGTGTTTTGTTATGAAAGGGATTGGCATGTTAAGCTTAAGTATAAATTAAAAGGGTAAGTGTTTGGGTCATTGGGTAGGCTAGAGCTAGGGCTATTTTGTGGTTTAGAAGTAGAGCTAGCGCTGGCGTGAGGAGAAGGATTAGGTGAATATAAGTAAGTCTAATGTGTAAGTATTAAATTAGGGTGATGGGTAAGCATTAATGTAAGGGTAAATCTTAAGGTCATTTAGATTTAAATTTAGGGTAATGATAAGGGTAAGGGTAATGACTAATAATTAAGGTAAGGGTAAGGCTAAGGGGTAAAGGTGAAGGTAAGGGTAAGGGTAAGGGTAAGGGTTAGGGTAAGGGTTAGGGTAAGGGTAAGGGTAAGGGTAAGGGTAAGGGTAAGGGTAAGGGTAAGGGTAAGGGTAAGGGTAAGGGTTGGGGTAATGGTGAGAGTAAGAGTAAGAGTAAGAGTAAGAGTAAGAGTAAGAGTAAGAGTAAGAGTAAGAGTAAGAGTAAGAGTAAGAGTAAGAGTAAGAGTAAGAGTAAGAGTAAGAGTAAGAGTAAGAGTAAGAGTAAGAGTAAGAGTAAGAGTAAGAGTAAGAGTAAGAGTAAGAGTAAGAGTAAGAGTAAGAGTAAGAGTAAGAGTAAGAGTAAGAGTAAGAGTAAGAGTAAGAGTAAGAGTAAGAGTAAGAGTAAGAGTAAGAGTAAGAGTAAGAGTAAGAGTAAGAGTAAGAGTAAGAGTAAGAGTAAGAGTAAGAGTAAGAGTAAGAGTAAGAGTAAGAGTAAGAGTAAGAGTAAGAGTAAGAGTAAGAGTAAGAGTAAGAGTAAGAGTAAGAGTAAGGGTAAGGGTAAGGGTAAGGGTAAGGGTAAGGGTAAGGGTAAGGGTAAGGGTAAGGGTAAGGGTAAGGGTAAGGGTAAGGGTAAGGGTAAGGGTAAGGGTAAGGGTAAGGGTAAGGGTAAGGGTAAGGGTAAGGGTAAGGTAAGGGTAAGGGTAAGGGTAAGGGTAAGGGTAAGGGTAAGGGTAAGGGTAAGGGTAAGGGTAACGGTAAGGGTAAGGGTAAGGGTAAGGGTAAGGGTAAGGGTAAGGGTCAGGGTCAGGGTCAGGGTCAGGGTCAGGGTCAAGGTCCAGGTCCAGGTCCAGGTCCAGGTAAAGGTAAAGGTAAAGGTAAAGGTATAGGTGAAGGTGAAGGTGAAGGTGAAGGTAAAGGTAAAGGTAAAGGTAAAGGTAATGTAAAAGTAATTTTAAGACAAGGTTTCGTAGTAAGTGTAAATGTTAAGATAAATTTAAGGTTAATTTTTAGGGAATTAAACTAGCAATAGATGTATGGAAGTTTAAGTCTAGTCTATGTGCACGCTTAAATTGTAACAGGAGCAACTAAAAGTTTTAGTAATCCTGTCAGCAAACCAACACACAGCTCAGAGGGACTTGGACTGCACTATACATTTTATGAGGAATTCTATCCATTCTCCAGCGCCGTGAGAACCACTGCAAAAAAATTGAAGTACGCGCTTTGGTATGGGCAGAAGAACCAAAAGTACAGCTACAATATTTTTATAACTTGTTTCAAAAGAATACAGGAATATTCCTTCCGATTTTTTTTTTGTATTTCCGTGTCGAGAAGAGATAATAAAATCCGTTTCTAGGAGTCGGCATATAAAAAAAAAATCATGCATGGTGTATCACAATTGGACCAGCGAGGTAATTGAAGGTGCATGACAATAACGTGCAGGGGAAGTAATGCACTTGTTGAAATATTTGTATAGGGGCAGTAACCCATGTCGGGGCATTAAACACTTTTAGAATGCCGTCTCGCACTTGCCCAGACAACGGATTCAAAGCTCCGCCCACATTGTGTCCGCGCGCATTAATCGTATTGAGGTGTCCTGCGCTATACAAGAGATCAGCTTTATTTATCCTAGAAACATTTTTTTATGCTCGGAAACGAGGGAGAAATAGTCATTTACACAGGAACATTTTGAAAGTTTGCTGAAGCGGGGAGGAAGAAAATAGGGAAGTGGGGGGTGTCTAATTCAAGGGGGGGGGGGGGGCAAGATGACATATATTTAAATGTCCACATTTAAACCTATATATAGGCATATACAACTTATTGAAGTCGTGTTGTTTTGATGAGCGCCGTCAAGTTATGAAAAATTTAAAAATTAATTTTGGTGGCAAGGATTACAAGGATAGGTTTTACTGCAATAAACTACCTTATACACCGGTCTATGTATACCAAAATATATGTTTATATAAATATATGTTTGGTTTCAGGTCAAAGTCCGTCTTTCTTATGTGACGCCCCACCGCCCCAATACATGATTTTCTTAAGTTTCTAGAACGCAGAAAATTCCAGAAAATGTTGTTGTTATTGGCAAGTGTTCATCATTTCTTCAGCACATGTTGACTAAACTCTATGACAACCTACAAAATTGATACTGAGAAATCAAGTCGAAGGTTCGGTTTCTAATTGTAAGCTCTACAATTCCACCACGCCGCTCCACCTCTTTGTTATGAAAAATTCATATGTTGTGCTCTTGCTAATGAAATAAATACCGTATCCTCAGATACGTCGTGGTGCAGGTGCAGCAGAGCTCGTGTGTTTCTGAAAGGGGTTACAGTCATGTGCGCATTGGACACGGTTGCCTCCCATTATTTCTTGTGTTTTTTACCAAGGGAAATAATTCACAGATATCGAATTTTTTTGTCACCCAAGAGAAATCTTATGAGGATGAATAAAGTTATAAAATATTAATCCATAAATTTGCTGTAATTTAAATGATGGAATAACAGTTTATAAAGTTTCTAAAATTGTGAATAATCAAATATTACTTTATAATATTTCTAAAATTGTGAACGCTGAAATATTAATTTATAATTTCGGTAAAATATGGTCTATTTATTTGAAATGGCTACTGATTTGAAATGTTCGCTTATCGTCTTTGTAATTCGCTAGCCGTACCAGTTTTATCTCTGGTAAAAAAATATAATTAGGATAGGTGAAGTAGAGTTCAACTGCTAATGAACTAATATTATGGTTAGTTCTATGGCCATCAATACTATTTGGGGTTTTCGGTGCAGAATCACACTACCCATTAGTGAGGTCTACATATGTTAACCATCCCCCACCCCAAGCTCCCATCAATTAGATATTATTACTTACCCGACATGTGATCCTAACAGAATAAAATAGACTTTGGAGGACACATATTCAAACACGTTTGTCTAATAAACTTTTGTTTTTGAAGATGCTTGTTTGTTGTTATTAAAATGTGCAGTGTTTTAGACTTTGGAGGTCGTACACACCAGTAGTTGTGGCAGAGAGGGGATGGGGGGGGGGGGTCGCACAGAAATTACATATCTATGATGATGTTGTAGAAGTTCACATTTTAAATAATTATGTGTGGGTTAGGAGAAGTTGAGTTCGTGGATATGAAGAAGATGTTTCTTCTCTCCATATCCGTGTGTTTTCCGGGTATAGTCACCGCCTGGTTGGGTATTGGAAGTGGGGTGGGGGTGTGATGCAGACTGCGGTCTGAATGGAATTTTCTTGCCTCTATACCAGTGTAATTTCCGGGGAAGTTTCTTTTCTCTATACCCAATTTCCGATGAATTTTCTTCTCTCTATACACAGTTTCCGAGGAATTTTCTTTTCTCTATACCCAATTTCCGAGGAATTTTCTTCTCTCTATACCCAGTTTCCGGGGAATTATTTTTTTTCCTCTATACCCAGTTTCCGAGGAATTTTCTCCTCTATACCCGTGTGGTTTCCGAGAACGTTTCTTGTCCCTACACCCGGTTTCCGGGAAAGAATCTTGTCCCTACACCCGGTTTCCGGGAAGTTTCTGGTCTCTATACCCGTGTGGTTTCCGGGTGTGGCCTCGGCTAGAGAGAATAGGACCACTGCTGCGCTGCTTGCATGTCGTAAGAGGCGACTAAATAGCAGACACTTGACAAATATTAGCTACAAATATTAGCTCATATTTGTCGTTCGTTTATATATATATATATATATATATATATATATATATATATATATATATATATATATATATATATATATATATATTCGTAAACCGAATCATTTTCTTTACTTCAGTCGAGATTCCAATTTCTGAAAACTTTCGTAAAACGAATAACCTAAATTTACCGTTCTTACCTTCAAAACAAAATTTTAACTTTGGCAGCAAAGAAAAAGATTTTATTGTCAGCGTACATTTTCCCTTTTAAGTTAATTCTTCATGTAACCATTGTCTGTAGGCATAAAACAATTACTAGTTACAGCCACTGTTTTTTGCAAGACTTTTTTAAAGCTTAGCGGTTAGAGATATTTTTATAAGCCCCAAGTAACCATTTGAGCTAATTTAGTAATTTTTATTTTTTTTAAGTTTGTATTTACGTAATTTGTTTCAATGTTTATATTGTATTTTATAACATCAGATGTCTCATTACTCATAAAAAAAAATTCGTTTGGTAACATTTCAGCCCTGTATGGCCTCCTTGTGTAAATAATATTCCAGCCCTGCCCGTCCTTTGATAGAATTGAAGATTTCTATCGACCTTATCGGCACCGTACGACCATTCACCTTTCACAAAAGGTAAGATTTGTTTTATTTCCTCAATCTTATTGAACTATTTGAACATGTTTTTAATAATGTCTTGTAAAAAGTTTCTTTTATCAATAAATTTATGATCTTTCTGTCTAATGTAGCTAAATTGTTTTTAAAATATTTTTTTATTACATGAGTTAATATCTCCGTGATGCAAGTTATCGGTAATTTTTTCAAATAGTTTATAACACCCCTTACCAACTCTAGTTACCAATTGATTGTATGAACATTGCACATCAAGTCGTATTTTAATTATTTTACCTGAAAATTAAAACCCTAACAAACGTGTAAAGATGGCAAATCTAAACAGTTACTATTGATCGTAAAAACTATCTGGCAATGGCTTCGCATTAAAATAACATAGCGAGAATGTATTGATTGACATCACCCTGTTATGATGCATGCTGTCAAGAAATGTAGAGTTGATCTGTTAAATAAGTTTGATAATAACATTTCAAGTAAAAGTTTTACGGTAATAAAATGGCGTATGGCATTGACGTGTCAGAAACTTCTATACCCTCTGCCATCCTGCTTTAATAATTAATATATAATAGGTCTACATTGCATAAATTTTATAGATTTTTATTAAAAATGTTTGAAGTTTGGGGAAGGAGGAATGATGGTGGGAAAATCTTACATTTTTCCTAAGTTTAAGTAGCCCTACTCAGAAGAAATATTTAAATTCTTGTTTTTTTTAACAGCGACGGCGTGTGAAATTTTAGGCTGTGTAAATAATTTCTATAACAAAATATATTACATTATAAATTAAGCTAAAAGTTTGTTTAGTAAAATGTAGTTTTAAAAGCATTTACTCTGAAGATTTAACCTCTTTTAACTTATATTGATAACGTTTGATGCGAATTTACTTTTATTAATGAAATTGTTTCTAAAATATAGTCTACGAGCCGACCCGCTGCGTATCGTACGCCGCTATTTAGTTGTTTTTTTTTCTACTTTTCAGTAATTTATAATTTGGGAATTCGACAGTACCAATGCTGCCATTGAAAATATTTGCTTAAAAACACTAAACCCCCCTCCCCTCCCCGTGAAAGCAGCCTCCTCTTACTTACCTCCTCTGAGTTTAAAATCGTTTCAAACTAAATTATCTGCCCCTAATAGCCGTCACCAAACCCGTCTCTGTGATTGTAAAATGTAAACAGCGTGAACCACAGCTCACCAGACCATGTGAGGGGGTGGGAGTGGGGGGTGGTAGCGATAGAGAGGAAGAGAGGGGACTGTAAGGCGCGCTTGCAGCTTGTTTTCTAACGGCTCGAAGAAGAGAATTATATATATAGATAGATGTTTTTAAATAGTAAATAAAATTCCCCTTACAAACGTCATGGTCTATGGGGTGAGTGAAGTAGAATCCAACTGCTTCTGTAGACTCGGCATATGACGGGACTGTGTGGTCAGATACCATACCGAGCTGGGAGGACATGAACCCGGATTCGTACTCGAGACTTTCCGATTAGCAGTCTAGCTCTCTACCGCTAGGCCACTTCTTCCGATCGAATAGTAGGCTAAGATATAATAATTTTAATATAGCAAGACAACTTTAGACACCTAATTTCATTTTAAATTTTAGGAATATCCATTGCAGATGCGTAGCGATGGGGGGGGGGGGGGGGTACATATGTCCCCGGGCTCCGACCCTAGGAGAGTTAAAAAGAGCTCATATTGGTTGCTATTTTGAATTATAAATATAAAAAATATAAAGGGTGGGGGGGGGGGGGCAAAGTTTGTCCCCGCGCGCCGGGAGGGGTCGCTACGCCTCTAATCCACAGTGAGATCATACGATTTTTTCCTTAAGAAAATATATAAATATGTAATATTTCTCTGTCTTCTTGACAAATACATCTTTTATTTTATTCTTCAGGTACTCTTACCAGCATATGAAGAAAACTAAACACTTCACATTGAGTGAAGAAAATCCTGATCCTCTTGACGTATACTCTTCCTTATTTCTGGTATCTCTTGGAATACTTCGTCGATAGTACCAACATCTCCGCTAGACACCAGCTCATTGATCTACTTTAACAGCGCACCCATAGCATTCAATATGCCGCTACACATGCGACTGATTAGCCGCCGTATCCTCAGCTTCAAGAGCCTTGCCATCCTTCGGATACCCCTCAGGAAGTCCCGAGTGGGTGAACTACGCCTGTTCTGGACAAGATCCAGAAATATCCTGCCTAAAATTGCTTTAAGCTCCAATTATAAAACACTTTTTTCACCATGACGTGAATAAATACATTCCTTGAATATTGTTTCAAGATACTCCTTATCCTCTTCATATATATTTCTCAATATATCTACAACTACCATTTTACTCTTAGACACCAGTTCTTCAACCAAGACATCTTTAGCGTTTATTACGCCCCTACATCCGACAGGAAATGATGAAACGATCGCAAACTAAAAAAAAAAAAAACATTAGTTGAAGATCGAATCAACAAATTCCTAAAATTCTTCAACAAACTCATCTATCCCTCCCTGCCCCCTTTGTATCCCCAGTTCTCTATAGATGCGCCTTTTTAGCCGCCTTATCCTCAGCTTCAAGAGCCTCGCCATCCTTCGGACACGCCTCAGAAAATCCCGAGTGGGTGACCTACGCGCCATGTTCGGTAGCAGGTTGAGCACCCTCTCCATTAGCGAGTCCGTTTGCCTGGCAATCTCATCTTGTACAAAATATTCCTGTATTCCTTGGACTCTAATTCTAGCACGAAGCTACAGATACGACGTATTATTTGCGTTATCCTGTCAATCATCACTTTGATTACCAGCTGGACACGATCTAAGCACCGTTTGAAACCAGTTCCTATCACACATCTCCTTGTACTGGACAAGATCCAGAAATATCTCACATGAAGGTGCTATAAGCACCAGCTATAAAGCAATTTTGTTCCAAAGATTTGAACTGACAAAATAGTTTGACGATCGAATCAACAAATTCCTGAAATTCTTCAACAAACTCATCTATCCCTCCCGGCCCCCTTTCT